AAGTAAAGAGGCTCACCAGCCAAATTGCAAAACAAACTTAAGTAAATAAGGACAACTTTCTTCCAAAAGAAAGTGACTAACGTTTAGACAATACACAAAGACACACTGGAGCACATCTCCTAATAATTAGCAGTACACAGGTTAAACTAGATCTCACACAGAGACATGACACTACACTATACTACACTACACCACGTAACACAGGCTGCACACATGCGGCCAGAGGAGAAGGAGAGGAGCCACTGCAGCCTTCCTCAGGTCCTTTAAGGAGGCCCTGATTGGGGATTGGGAGCACCTGGGGGAGAGGCTGCATCTGGAGACAATCAGGGAGAGAGAGAGACACACACATACAAAATTGAAGGCATTTTTGTACATGCCTTTTTAAAATGTCAAAGGGAGAACTAACTGAAGTACCCATGTGTATTAGTGTCTATGTTGCTAATTTAGTGCAAACAAACAGGACTGAGGTTGAGGGTTTGTCCTTTTTGAGTGTTTGAAATGCCCTCGTTTGGGACTTTTCAGCATAAAGGGAATCATTGAGTAGTTTTCAAGGTGTCTCTGACAAAAAAATATACCTGTGACAAGTTGTCTATTAAATCAACACAGAATGTGGTTGGGAAAACAGCTAAGCACATTTTTCCAATCTTTAAACAAAGACTATTTGTTTGCTCTTGAGCCACCAGTGGAGCTGTTCAACAGATAATGTGTTGATGTTCTGTATCAATACAAAATGTGCTCTACTGTATGTAGAATAGAGAACACTTCTTCCGCTGCTCTTCCCCTGATAAACGAAGCTTTAGAAAATGTAAAAGCTACATTAGACCTTCTGAACTTGCCTCTTAGTTGTGCAACTTAAAATTCAAGGGAAATGGGAACACTCAGAAAGGTCAGAGCAGGTCCTATTAATTTGACATCAACATCTCATCATTATTGGCCAGCCTCATTCCTTATCAATCCCCTTGTCTGTCTGACTTTTTCTCCTGATGGAAACAGGACAGCCCACTCCAGAGAATCGTAGAAGGTTCTCAAAGAGGAGCAGTCGGCTGTTAAAGTAGTATGGTAGTAAACATAGCAGCCTTTCCAAGCTGCTCAGGGTGCTTTAGCCTCATCGTTTTTGTTGTTGTACACGTGTTATACAAAGCCATTATCTCTGTTAGAAAAAAACTCCTCAATAACATCATAATGGCATAGTGATCCATTCCATTTTCTGATGGGCAGTGTCCCATTATTTTGTACAAGACTGACCTTCAGTGCAGATATATATCTGATGGGTGGACCATTTCTGCAAGGCCGTGGACTAGATTCAGACACTGTTGCTTTTTAATGTTAAGCAATAAGCAGGGCCATGGTCATAGGCTAGCTTGGCAACTGACTGAAACTAAAAACTGAAACTGAAACTAATTGGCCAGCAAACTTCATGAATCGTATTATTTCAGCTCTTTTGTGAGGACAATGGTCTCATGTTGTTTGTTGTTATCACATAGGAAGAGTTTTTTGATTGTTTTTCTCCCATGTGCCACATTTGATACGTTTGTTTCTGTTTAGTTGCCTTGGTCTTTCTTGTGTGTTTCTGGAGAAATTGTGAGATGGGAATAGCAGCAAAATGTCTCCCCCAGAATCCCATGGAGACTCAGGCGCAATGCCCCGGACAGAGTTGAGTCGACATGTGCAATGAACCTAGTCGTCACTCATGGCACGTTTTGGTGATGGAGCACATCGAAGTACAACTTGAAACAGGGAGCAAATGAACAGAACAGTTCCCTGTGTGTAATATCAATCTCATTCCCCAGTCTGGATAAGGTATTTGAAGTTATGAATCAAAAAGTGATGAACATAAAAAGGAACCATAGCTTTTAAATGATCTAATTATTTAAAAGTGAAAACCATCGTTTTACTTTAAAGGTTTAAAATTCACGTCAGCTCAAAAAGAACAGCAAACCAGTTTTTTACTGCAACATGGTTTTGATGATTGAAAAAAAGCACTTAACGCTTTGTCTTTTCAAAATCTCTCTGACACATCTCGACATACAGTATGTTTAATGCATAGGGATGGGTAACTTTCTTCAGAAGACCTGGCTGATCCTGAGCCTGCCTCCTCTGAGCTCTCATCGCTGTTGAAGTTTTTTAATAGCATGTTTTCCTGCCAAACTGCTGGTGTTACATGCAATCACTCTTATGTCTATCACACACACACACACACACACACACACACACACACACACACACACACACACACACACACACACACACACACACACACACACACACACACACACACACACACACACACACACACACACACACACACACACACACACACACACACACACACACACACACACACACACAGATAAACACACACATACATTACTTGCATCCCTTAACCCCACATCGTCTCCCCTGACTTCAGTTGCCTGGCAACATGTTGCCGTGATATGGTTCATTTGGTCGAGAACATTGGATGTTAAATGTTAGCCTTGTTTTTTCCAACCCGTTCATTAGCTCACCTTTCTGACCCTGTGGCTTGAGCCCGTTTGTAACTCAAGATGTGATTATCTCTATTGTTCATTTCAGGTTGACTGTACATTAATATTATAACTCTAGGATGGTACCCACCGTAGAAAATGTGTAATCGCATAAATGTCATATTGTTATTATATAAGGTTGTGTCTTTTATTGCTAGTATTTATTGTCATATTAGATACTGAACGCAAATAAGTTGTATACCCAGAATACTTTAATATTTTAGTGTAAGTGCTATTCATATTAAAATAGAACAAAGTTGTTTCGTTTTTTATTATTCAGTCTTGACTTGTCATTTTAATTTTGAACCTGCTCTCAAGCAGATTTACGTTTTATTTTAATAATTTAATTCTGCCATGAAATGTTGTGTAATATTAGATATCAATGTAAAATAAATTACAATTGAATTATAGCAACCATTAGAAGCAGTTAACCTCTATGCTGAACCAACAGAGTGAAATAAAGATTACAATTACTTACTTTGTTTGTAGTGTTCATGGCTGCATCGTTACCGTTTATACTGACTAATATCAGGTAGTGCGAAGTGTTTGTGTGTAATATTGAAGGTGTGAGACTGTTTGTACACACAGGACTGCACATCCTTTCAGTCGTTACTGCAAAAAGCCTTTTTTATAAAGAATCCACAAATTGTATAGTACCCTTCACTAATGTGCGCATTAGCTGTGCTCTCAGAGGTCGACAGGTTTGGCCTTGTAGACTTCATTTGGAGATGAGTTGCCACTGTTGTGTTTACAAAAACATTCTCAGCAAGGTAACAGTGATTAATGTTCACTGTAGCAATGGTATTAAAAAGGCTTGAGTGCAAAGGAACACATTCAAATGCGGATTTATTACACTTGGTAAGAGCGTAATTGACTGTCATCACTGGAGGTCGGATGTGTATTCAACAGTGAAGTGTGCAGTGAAGCATCACCTTTCCTTCATATTCCAATATAATATCTGACTTACTTCTTTATTTGACTAATGTTGCCTATTTCACTTTTAAATTGAAGCGCTTTAAATGTCTGATAACCTGTTCAACTTTAGCGTTCAGGGTAGTTTCATTACTGGGAAAAGGCTGTGAAATTCTTACCAACAACTAACAGCAGTGGAGGCTGTTGTGTGATTCTGCTGCCATGGGCAACCATTTACATCCTTTAGTGTGCCGGTCATTATGTGAATCTTGCTAATGGTTTCCAGTGGTGAATGTAACTCACATGTCTCACTAAAAACTGTTCTAATGAAAGATTTCTGTCAAGTTGTGGTTTGTCACTCAGGAAATTATGTCATGGCATACATTCAGAAAATACTTTACTCCCTTTGGTTTGTGCACGGTTAGGCGTGTATTGCAAAGCACTATTTTCTCTTTGAGTAACTGTCTGTGCGTCAGGCTTGTGTTGTTTATCTTTCCAATGCTTTTGTGAAGGCTGCAAACGCTTATTCATTATCGTGGTGTAGCAAACAAAGTGAAGAGCGGCTGCTGTCCACAGCTCCGTTTCATCTGACATGATTAATTTGTCTGCGGACATGTTGACAGGACTCCACTGGCGAGTTATTCGGTCGAGCCTTGAACTGTGTCAGTGGCTACTATTGTGCCAGCTGCACTTTTCTTTGGTCGGACAATTTTATATTTAACACTCCAATTTTTCCAGAGCTGAGGATCAGACATGTCCATCTGTTGTCTGTTTGCAGTAAAAACAGCAGTGTGCGTTAGGCTTTGTGTACTTTCTGTCGTACTTGTTCAGCTGTCTTGGTTTTGATTCAGCACCACTGACATATTTTATAAAATGCAGTTGCGGTTTATTCCATAGGCATGTTACTGGCTGAAATATCATATACATATTTTTATATTTGTCACATAATGCATTAACCCTAATCCTAACCCAACACAAATCTAGTGTGAAGTATTAAAAAAGTTTTATGAAAGCAATTATTTGCTTCCGGCCGTGGGCTTACGAACATTGTATCACAGCTGATTTATGACTTTCTGATGTTCAGACAAAAGTTAATTATCCACCTACATAGACATTTTTATTATTATAGATGTACTCTCTGTGAAATCCATTTTAGAATCATCCAGGCTTGTCAATTCTGAACTCAAGTCGTCATGCTATGATATAACTTAATATGTACATCAAAGATATTTGACACCCTCTTAATAACATCATTATTTTAATCAGTCCTTACATTAATAAGCTCCTACATACAGTAAGATGAAAGCTTTACTAATGCACTGGAAAAATAAATGTTTTCCTTCACACTGTCCTTGAATGATGACTATAATGAGATGTAATTTATTATTGCTGAATCTTTATTTTAGTCCAGCACTGTGTGTCTCATAAATACAAAAACATATTTTAGGTTAATCAAATTATATTTAGCACAAACATAGAGCAATTCAAAAATGAAATCACTGAATTATTGCAATGTGGAAAAGAGCATCAATGACCTTGTTTTCATTGCTTCTCTGTTTGCAGCACATCACAATGGACAGCTACATTCCCTGCCTGACGGATCTCTGCAAGGCATTGTGGGAGGTGATGGTGAGCTACCACCGCACCATACAGTGGCACGAGGAGCATGACAAACAGGACAGCTCACACACTCCAGGTAAGAGGCTCTACCTGTTTAAACCATGACCTTTTGTAATTATTCAGAAAGATTCAGCAGCACTACTCTTCTCGTCTGACCTCCAAACATACAAGTGCACAGCTCCCTGTAGAAGCATACAGATTCAGGCATTTAAGATACAATAACAACCTCCTGACCTTCCGTCTTGCACATGCTACCATTTGGTGCCCGTTCCTTCTTTTTTTAAAATCTTCAACCCCTTTAAATCTGACTTTGTCTCTTATTCTCTTTTCCATAAAAACATAAAACACCAAATCTGCTCCCTAAGCCGAAAAAGTCCCTCAAAGATCCATAACCCGAACCCTAACCCTGTTTTTTCAACATACAGAAGGTTTATCAGCTTTATAATTCAGAGAAAGGAATGATTGAATCTGGGTGTATAAGAGGAAAAGGGAGTGCTTAATGTGTGCCGGGGCTTTAGTGCAGCATGTAGCATTGTGGCACAGATTTTAAAATGGCATATATATTTCCGCATTTATGAAGTGCTACTTCAGTGTCGAGGTCATTGAATGTGTCATTAGTGGTAAAACACCTCCTCTTGGCAGCAATACAAAGAGAAGTGCTTTACGGTTATACAGTTGTAAGGTATCTCTGTATGCGCAATGTTAAAGAGTGTATATGTTAATTTGTCTGTTGTTGCATTATCACATTAGAATTGGTTTGAAGGTTGTTCCTAATTACATGAATGTAAATTAAATGTAAACATTGTTGAATTTACATTGAAGAATTAATATGACCTGGACGCATGAATGACGCATTTTTTTCTTATGGAAATGTGTCATAGATGACTTTGATTGTGATCCGTTAATAGAAACAAGAAATTAATGTATAGCTGTTTCAGTTGGATATGGTAGTGTAAACAGATCAAACTTGGACTTTTTTCTTTTGGGGTTTTTATTTATCGTCCCTAGTAGATACCCCAAATTCTACCTGTTTTATCATTTTTTTACGTACATTTATTGATGATACTAATATATAAAGCGAACAGATCCTCAACTTGAAACTCAGAAAAGCTGCACCCAAGTTATGGCCCATTTAGTTCAGCAAGACAACTGCACTCCACATCTGTCCAAACCTAAAGCTTATGTCTGGATCAACAAGAAAGTCTTGCTTGTGTTGCAGCTTCCATCAATCCTTCCTTCAGTCAGCCAGTTGTGAAAACATCAGCCTTGAGCAGCTCAGTTGTCAAGGCAATACATACTTTGTGATTTAGCGGTAAGCTCCACAACAAGTTGAATTTCTTACAAGTGTAAGAAAGGAAACCATGCTGGATTTGGTATATCGCACTTCTCAGCTCATCATTTGTGTTGCCAAGGACTTTGTCAAGGAGCTGCAAATAAATAACTGTCAAATTAGCTGCTACCTTCCCGTCGCGTATCGAAAGAAAGCTAATTTCCCACACTGTACAGAATTTATTAGGCAAATGGATGAGGACACAAAGATGCTAAGTCCTCAGAATCCTCATTAGATGCGTTCCTCTTCGCAGGGGAAAGGACATACACCGCGTTTCTTTTCATGAAGCCCATCTATCATCTCCCTATTTGATTGGCTGTCACCTCTATCCTCTGTGTAAAGGTGTCCCTGACCCCGCCTTTTTCCTGGCTTTCACCTTTCTCTTTTTTATCCTAATGTCCATCAGAGTAATGATTTACTGTACAGGCTTTGTCTCATTTGTGTGACCTAAACAGGAAGTGACCTCCATCTCACACAAGAGGTCCGACCCACTGAAGATCACTCCTCTTCTGCTACACACTCACCCGATTGAGATGTTAAAAAAAAGAAAAAAGCATTGAATGTTAGCCAGGTTCTACTTGACATATTGAGCTGGTCAGTGTAACGAATCTTGCCAGTTGATGAAAGCAAAGGTTGTTTTAAGAAGTTCTATAGGTCAGGGTACTATCCCCACCTGACAAACTAGATTTGCTGCCCTGTCCTGTATGATCAGCACTGAAGGCTGGGAGGCTCCATGTGTGTGAGACCCCTTGAGTGAGTGAAATCAAATAACCATGGCCAGTTGGTGACATGTTCATACAGAGCATGGACACGGTCCATGTTGGCTAATATATAATGAATATATAGTGGCTCTCTGCTTTGCGATGATAAAGAAAAAGTATTTTCAGCAGCAGGCGAGAGTCGGCCTTCACACCTTGTTAGTGTTGAGTAGTATCATGGAATATAAAGTGAACGACAGAGCATGCAATGTGAAATAACTTATGCTTTACTGACCTAACATCATACATTGTTATTTTTGTATTGAACCATTCCATCTTACTTTTCTGTTCATGCAAACATCCTCAAGTCAAGTTAGCAACACTCTAACCAAAATGTTTCTCATCTCAACATTTACAACCTGCAGATCATGATTGGATTAATATGCAAGCCCTTTAAATGAATGCATCTGCTTTAAAGGACTTTCATGTTGTAAGTTGCATACAACGTTGGGATCAAGCCTTTCAACACATGAAGCTGTGCGTGTGAATTAAATAAAGGACAATTTGTTTGGCTCAAACTGCACCAAATCAGCATTTAATATGGTAATTAAAAATGCATCGGGTATACGGTCTGATTGATTATAATCCCTCCAAAATATGTTGGGTTTATTAAACATATGGTGCAGTGCTATAGGCCAATACTACACAAAATGTACGTTTTTTTTGCTAGTCGAAATCAGCTGTATTTTGCATAATTGTATTTATTTGGCATCTGCATCGTCTGCGGGGAATTCAGATTATAATTTGTTTGTTAAAGGCTTCACGTTGCCAGAAAGACAATCTTGTTTTGCTTTTTCTCTTCTTAATTTTTAAGAAGATTTATGCAAAGTCATGCAAATGCTCTTGTTGGATGAGTCATAGTTTGAAATCTGCAGGGAGCTAAGTCCCCTGTGGGTTTTGTCCTGTGAGTCACAAAGAACTCCGTCACCCACAATGCCACCAAGGGTCAAACACTGGTTACCGCCTACTGAGTAGCCAAAGGTGGCGTTCCCCGTCGTTCACCATTCCTACCACTCTTTATTAACACTTTTAGTAATCAGTCTTAAGGCTTTTTAACTGGATAACCCGAACAGGAAGTCTACGCCCTCACAGGATCAGCACCCCAACTGCACTGAATGCAACCAAGTATGGGAATACATGGGGATATAGTGGTATAAAAAAGGATGGAAATAATACTTTGTTCTATAAAGTTGAACTGCTTTGGTAATCACAATGTCACTATAAGATTTCTTAAGGTTTTAAATCATGCAGATGTGTAGCAGTCTAACCAGGTGCTATGTACAAGACTTATCATCAAACTGTTTGGAGTTTTGAACATTGAAGTGATTTTCTGCCTTTTAAAACTTACCCTTCAAGAGCTGACATAATCTGCTTGGTATTTCAAGCTTTTGTAGGCCTCACAGCCCCTCACTCCCACAACTGTCCTTGTGCTCATTAAAGGAAACCTAGTTATGTCATGCTTTATCACAAGCTCTTTGTTCTTTTGTTTTTTAAGTAAATGACGCAACTGTTAAAACCAGCTCTGTCCTAATTAATAATTCAAATTGCAGCTAAAGTTATTGGGGTCTCAAGGATAATGTTTGAAACCTTCCCAGTAAAGGACATCCTTTGAAATTGATTTTACTTTGCGTTAACTTTATTATCAGATATCACGACTAGTATTACTTGAACATGATAGTGTTGGATGTGGAGGTTTAAAATTCATCATGAGCACACTCACGAAGATGAGAATCTGAAACCATATATTTCAAATAAATCCAAATACCATGGAAAAGCACAAGGTTTCACATCCATTTCAGAGTGTGAAGATTGCAATCAGTCTGTGGGAGGAGAAGATACATGTCCATAATGGAGCCAGGTGGACGGGTATACTTTCCGGCCAGAATTTAAATGCAATACTCTTGTGAAAGTGCTACCTCTTCATCCACCAAATAATCTTGCTGGTGTGGTTTTCAAAAAAGGAGAAGCTTTTTTCCCCTGTCTGAAGGATAAGACACACTTGTTAAGTTAGTATGTGAAAAAGTGCTGTTGAAATCTGTTTTGGTGCATTAACCAGATCATTATCAAATATTTCCTATAACTTTCTAAACTGTCCGACACTGAAACAAACATGTAAGCTTATTTTCCTCATTCAAGATTCCTATTATAGATTTTTAGAGACAAATGTAGTGAGAACATGAGTGTTAGTAGCGGATGCAGATAATGAAGAGTGCTGTTTAAGGACAAGACTTTATTTTTGAAAAGTGTTTAAATTAGATGAGTCTCTTGTTTTAATAAGATATGTTGTTTGAGCTTAATGCCTGGCTATACTTTTTGTTACCATTATAAATTATTCAGGTGGACATTTGAAGGCAAATACCCATTAATGATGTTTAAGAAGCCCCTAGATCCAATTAATTGCAACAAATACAACTTGACATGAAGTCCTCTTGACGATTCTTCTGCTTTTTGATGAATTGAGCCTACTGTCAGAATCTAAGATAAGCCTGGGCCAATCCCCTCTGCTGCTTATTGTAAGCCTCAGAGTCCGATTAACACGCGTCCTCTGTGTGAAGTGGTGGTCTGCATACAGACTGATAAAAAAGAGTAGAAAACGTTGTGAGGTAAACTTTAGTTCATTGGACAGAGTTCTTGTCAAAGAGAGAATATCAGTGACTAGGGATGTAAATGGATAACTTGATTGATAAACTAATGGTACTCCGTCAATGTATTATTCCAGTCTTATTGTATTGTCAGACCCACAATGGACAGTAAAGTAAACAGTAAAAACATATATACACTGAACAAAAATATAAATGCAACACTTTTGTTTTTGCTCCCATTTTTCATGGCAACTCAAAGATCTAAAACATTTTCTATATACACAAAATAACCATTTCTCTCAAATATTGTTCACAAATCTGAAAAAATCTGTGATAGTGAGCACTTCTCCTTTGCCGAGATAATCCATCTCACCTCACAGGTGTGGCATATCAAGATGCTGATTAGACAGCATGATTATTGCACAGGTGTGCCTTAGGCTGGCCACAATAAAAGGCCACTCTAAAATGTTCAGTTTTATCACACAGCACAATGCCACAGATGTCGCAAGTTTTGAGGGAGCGTGCAATTGGCATGCTGACAGCAGGAATGTCCACCAGAGCTGTTGCCCGTGAATTGAATGTTCATTTCTCTACCATAAGCCGTCTCCAAAGGCGTTTCAGAGAATTTGGCAGTACATCCAACCGGCCTGACAACTGCAGACCACGTGTAACCACACCAGCCCAGGACCTCCACATCCAGCATGTTCACCTCCAAGATCGTCTGAGACCAGCCACTCGGACAGCTGCTGCAACAATCGGTTTGCATAACCAAAGAATATCTGCACAAACTGTCAGAAACCATCTCAGGGAAGCTCATCTGCATGCTCGTCGTCCTCATCGGGGTCTCGACCTGACTCCGGTTCGTCGTCGTAACCGACTTGAGTGGGCAAATGCTCACATTCGATGGCGTCTGGCACGTTGGAGAGGTGTTCTCTTCACGGATGAATCCCGGTTTTCACTGTTCAGGGCAGATGGCAGACAGCGTGTGTGGCGTCGTGTGGGTGAGCGGTTTTCTGATGTCAATGTTGTGAATCGAGTGGCCCATGGTGGTGGTGGGGTTATGGTATGGGCAGGCGTATGTTATGGGCAGGCGTATGTTATGGACGACGAACACAGGTGCATTTTATTGATGGCATTGTGAATGCACAGAGATACCGTGACGAGATCCGGAGGCCCATTGTTGTGCCATTCATCCACGACCATCACCTCATGTTGCAGCATGATAATGCACGGCCCCATGTTGCAAGGATCTGTACACAATTCCTGGAGGCTGAAAACATCCCAGTTCTTGCATGGCCAGCATACTCACCGGACATGTCACCCATTGAACATGTTTGGGATGCTCTGGATCGGCGTATACGACAGCGTGTTCCAGTTCCTGCCAATATCCAGCAACTTGAACAGCCATTGAAGAGGAGTGGACCAACATTCCACAGGCCACAATCAACAACCTGATCAACTCTATGCGAAGGAGATGTGTTGCACTGCGTGAGGCAAATGGTGGTCACACCAGATACTGACTGGTTTTTGGACCCCCCCAGACCTCCCCAATAAAGCAAAACTGCACGTTTCAGAGTGGCCTTTTATTGTGGCCAGCCTAAGGCACACCTGTGCAATAATCATGCTGTCTAATCAGCATCTTGATATGCCACACCTGTGAGGTGGGATGGATTATCTCGGCAAAGGAGAAGTGCTCACTATCACAGATTTCTTCAGATTTGTGAACAATATTTGAGAGAAATGGTTATTTTGTGTATATAGAAAATGTTTTAGATCTTTGAGTTCATCTCATGAAAAATGGGAGCAAAAACAAAAGTGTTGCATTTATATTTTTGTTCAGTGTATGTATCAAACTGTTGCCTTTTGCAGTAGCCTCAGGCAGAAAGGAGCAGCGGGCTTCAGAGGTCTCATAAAGCCTCTTCTTTCTAACTTTTTTATTTTCATTTTTAAACTTGTAGTTTTAAATCCAAACCGACTCAACTAATGTCAATCTATCTGACTTTAATCAGCTTCCACCTGAGGCACAAAAGGCTTAACACAACCTTTTCACATCTGCAGTTCGTTAAGACCTAAGACCTCTAAACACACTTTGATGTGGAAAGTAGGTGGAGAACCCTTTTAAGTATGTGATTTAAAACAGATATATTAATCGATAATACATAAAAGTCAGAAACCCCCATGACATTGATTGGCCCCATCAGTTTTTCATGTGAGGAAAATCATGGTACTGTAGCATTGTTCTTCACAGTTATAAGGTAATGTCCATGGGTTACCCTTCCACATATTTCAGTCACACCTGAACAAGCCACAGCTTTTTAATTTTAAAACACCTCGTGCTGGTGAATTAATTCCCTTTTATCTATCACCATAAAGTGATAGCTTCAGAGACTCAGGTTTCTGAGGAGCTTTGATTAATCCAGCTCCATTGATCCCTTCTTGTGTCTTTGATTTTGGGGTTTTCATCTCTTTAACCTATTGAGGTCATTTTTGATGGTATTTAATTTTTTCTTTAAGGCCCACAATAGCTCCTCACTCACTACGTCTTGGTTGTAAAGGCTTTAAATTACTCATGCCCATTCTCTTACTTTCATTACATTTATTCAATAAGATATACACTGTGTGGGTGTAACACAATTGATGCTGGTAATGAATGAGCTGTTGTTCTGGTGTCTTTATAAGAACAACCTCACTGCATCTGTTTCTCAGGTCAAAAGGGGATTTGTTTTATAGGCAATATAGCTTTTGAATGCCATTTTTTTTCCCGAAAGATTTGAATTATGTATTCAGTCTATTCTTTATAAAAGCAGGGAAAATGGAAAGAGATATTTATCGTGTTGCTCAGAAGACAAACACCTCACCCAGCAGGTTCAGCGTACAGTGGCTCTGTTTTGACTACAGCTCGGAGTCAAGTTGAGTTAAATGATGTGTTTGTATGTTTAAGGCTTTGGGTCTTTCAACCATCTTACTTCTTAGGGATAAGAAAAACATTACCACATGATATATGCCTGTCTCCCCTGTTTTCTCTGACTAACGTCTCTAACCATCATCTGGTTCAATAGTTACTGAAGGTCAGTGTGTGTGATGTCAAGCACATCAAGATCTACACGTGTTTGCTCAGTGACACATTCATTTTTTCTTCAGTGCTTTTAAACTGCAGTCAAAAGTCTTGGAAATTCTTACCTAATCTATTCCCCTGCCCCTGATTTACACACCACTTTTCTGTTTTGGTGGCCTCTAAATATACACTCTGGTTTAATACTTGAAGAGAGTACTTTTAACCAGAAGTAAAAATGAACTCTGCAGCTGAATTGTAGCCTTTTTTTAAATAATTGTACTTAAGAGTTAATTGTTCCCCTACTGCTAAGGCACTGTTATGATTATGTATTTGGACTTCGTCATTTGGGGTTTTATATACAGGAACCATTCTGTGTCTGGATGCTCCAGAAGGGGGGGGGGCTTTAATGACAGAAAGCGCCAATATTGAGGCTCCATGTCCACAAGCATGTTCCCTTTAAAAGCATATATGAGGCACTAAATCCATAAGAGGAGAGAAGCTATATAGCTGACCCTGGCCATACAAATGACAAACCCTAAAGGCAAACAAACCTTGACCAGTGCCATAATCCACAACACAGATAAATCTCTCTATTTTTATCTTTCCGATACATTAAAGGAATATACTGGAAGGGGTAGATGGGATTGGCAGCTTGTTGACTTGCAGGGTGACTACTGCTGGCGTATCTAGAGACGATAAGCCAGCCAGAGGAAAGTATAGCGGCTGTTGTGACGTTGTAGCCCAGCGGTGTCCAAACATTTTTCACCAAGGGCCACATAGATTTATTGCCTCATAGGTGAAGTTATAAGTTAGCTAAATCAATCAAATGTAAGTAAATTATGCTTGATGCAACAGCCTACATGACAGCTTTCCATAGGGTTTCATTTATTTTGTTAGCAGCTCATTCCTTAAAACAGAAGCCTTAGATTGCTTATCATAAGAGGAAATAGGAAGGGTATATTTCAAGGTTGTTATGTAAATAAGTTATTGGGCTTTTTTCTTATCAACTTAGATTTGTTAGAACATCTTTTCAACTTGAAGTGACTGAAAGCGGGCTTATTAACACATGAACACTACTGTGTAATGTATATTCATATATTTAAGAATATATTTTTTTTTGTACAATACAAGACAAGAACAAGTTTCATTTGTGGGCCGCATTCCATCGTACTTTTTGAATTTTCTCAGAGCCGATTCAAAATGCCCCGCACCCCTGTGGTAGCCTCTTCTTCAGTGTCTGCTACACATGGTGTTCAAAGATCGGTGAGAAGAGAAAACACTAAAACACACAGAGAGCTCATAGAGGAGGAACCGTGTTCATTGGAGATGTTGATTTATGTTCTGGCTGTCTGACAGTGACCAGGTCCTTAGCACATAAAACATGTCTCAGTGTATTGTCATATTGCGTTCTCGGTTGCTGTCAGTCTTCGTTCTCTTGAGGGACTCTGTCAAATGATGTGAAATGCAGACTGACAAACACTTTACAAGAAGTCTCCTAGTCTTCAGCTAAAATTCAGGCTGTCTTCATTGTCATACTAACAATGAAGAACAAATCCCACACAGATCTGCAGACCAACGAGACCACATTCCCCTGATCACATTGAATGCACCGGATGAATCACATTATCAAATGGATTTTTTTTCCATTTGCTTCTTCATCAACCTTAAGAATATATTTATTTATTCCTCTAGGACTTCTGATTCACGCTGTTCACACATCATTGTGCAAATGTCTATTAAAAAGTAAATTAAATCCATTGAATCATGCTGGAATGAAACAGTCAAGCAATAGATAGATAAAATAAAAAAGGGGGAAAGGTAAATGTATCCGTCTCCTTATTTAATCCGTCTGTGTGCTTTTTTTGAACACCCCTAGGTGACGCAGCAGAGTCTGATGAGTCGGTGGTGGACCGCAGCTATGTCAAGAAGAAGCTGGAGCATGGACTGACACGCATCTGGCAGGTTTGAAGAAATTCTATCTCCCACATACTGTAGTCTTCACTCCAGATGATTGACATGACTTGTGGGAGTATTTGTTCTGTTTTATGTGATGTTCTTTTTTAAATTGTGTTCATGCTTTTATGGTTGATCCGAAGATAATTCACTAATCACTTTTCCCCTGTCATGTTCCTCCCCAGGACGTCCAGTTGAAAGTGAAGGCCTATATCTTGGGGACAGACATGTCTAACTTTAAATACGATGATTTCATCGTGGTACTTGATGTCATCAGCAGGTACGCCGCAGGAACAGAGCAGTCAGCTCATCCTTGTTTCCACTAATTGGCCATCATTATCTTGCAATCACTGTCCCTTTCGCCGTCATGTCTTATTCGATTATTATTACATTCAGGTTTTTATACTCTGACATGCAGTCTTTTTTTTCTCCCTCTCAGTCACTGACTCAATCAGATTATGCAAACTTAATTACACACAAACACAACATGCTCCTTCGTCCAATTAGATAATTAGCATTGTTGTTTACAAGCACATCAAAACAGAAATTATAATGCCAGTATGTCCAAACCTATTAACACGCCACACTTTGATTATGTTAACTCTGATTATAGTAGTGATACTCCAGTCATTTTTGCATTTATAGACACCAAATAAGAAGTATGCTCGCATTCATCTCATTTCTTGATTTGCGGTCGACCTGTGCTGCTCCGCCCATTATGACTGTATGTGGGAGTGAACCTGTACATTGTCTGGAACAGTTTGTGGGTGGAATAAAGATTGATGTTTTGTTAGAAGAAACCAGCATATTCCAGTAAAGTTTTTAAAGTTAACTTTAAATCATGGGCATTTATTTGTTACATCGAATTAAACTTTTCTCACAATGTGTGGTTATGTAAGAAATGTACATTTACTTCTGTTGATTTAATGAAGTCACTGTCTGCGTTCAAGTTATTATCTGTGCACATATTGTATATGACATCATCTAAAATAGCTGTTTCACGAGTCAGCTACCTGCAAATATCCAAATATTTCCGATGGTTTATTTTAGATGAAGTCTTGTGTGGTCGTTTTCTTTCTTCAATACCACTGCAAACAGCACATTGTCTGTTCCTTGACCGGTTGCCAGAGCGAGTCTGTTTATATCGTGTCTCTGTGCCCCTGCTGGCTCAGCTGTCAATCAAACACACATGGCAGATTTCCTCCAGAGGCTTTGAGGCTAAAGGGCAGTTAAGTTTTTACATTTTTGACTGCAGAAAAACATACAATATAGGAATTATCTTATGAAGTAGCAGACACAATATAGGGATAGATTAAAATAAAAATACATTTTGTAATAAAAACCTTAATATTAGGACTTTATCTGTAAATATGTTCGGCGTGATGATATGCTTGGTTACTTCCTAAATACCCCACAATACAAGACTCGTTAGGTATAGTCAATTACATTTATATTATAGAAAATAATACGTTGTCTCTTTGATTTTGAAAAGTTGTATAATTTAATCCTGCTAAATGTGTCTTTTATCAGCATGCTTTTGTGGCAATATTCCAATAATTTATCGTTTTAAGTGTATTCAAGCAAACTTCTATGAATTTTTTCTCTAACTTGCAGTGACTGAACCATTATGGGATGGTATGACAGATAGTCAGTATCAATAGGCAGCCATTAAAGAGTCCATTTGTTCTCCTTACACCCGGTCTTCTCACTAGTACATAATTAATTGCAAAATCTCTTTTTATTATCTCTTCTCTCCTCTTCCTTCATCATTATCTGTCATTATTTTTTCTTCATCTAACAACCTCTTTCTCCAGGTTGATGCAGGTGGGGGAGGAGTTCTGCAGCAGTAAGTCAGAGGTCCTGCAGGAGTCTATCAAACGCCAGAGTGTCAACTATTTTAAAAACTATCACAGGTAAGATGTCTCCATTGCTTCTGGATCCTCACCTGCATCATGTGACAAATTATACGCACATTCTTCTCAGTCAGTGAGTTGGCAGGGTCGGTTGTGTGTGAATAATTACATGGATAAATCTGATGTGCTTTCCCCGTTCCACATGAATTGGAAGAAAGTTCTTGAGACAATATTAAATTACACTTTAACAGCAGGTTGCTTGACAGAAACTTGTACACACAATCACAATCATTGGCTGCTTTCATCATGTTCTATTCCCAGCGCAACCCTCTTCGTGGTAGATGTGTAATTAGACGGTATATCTCACTGAGCTGGAGGCACATGTACCGCTTGATTACATAACCCCCTGCCAACCACTTGAATATGTATGCTTTGACACATACAGCGTCACATTGTCACATGTGATCTTATTAGAGTTGTGACTGCATGCCAAGAATCATTGATATGATAATTGGATGCTGATTAGCTTCATTCCTGTGACGCAGGTGGGAGACATTCATTTTAAGGTTGGAGATAATCTCAGTTTGAAATTGTAATTTGAACTGAAAAATGGAGCGGTTGAGGCAAAAGAAGAAAAAGAGGAGGTGGAGAATGGCAGACAGCCTTAGAAGGACATATTCTACCCCCCCACTGTGTCCGTGTGCACGCTACGGGTGGCCAGCAGCCTTCCAGCGTGCATCATCTTTACATTAGGTTAATCTTCCAGGCGATTTCCAAACGGATTGTGCATCAGTGAACTGGTTGAAGCCCACTCATCGTCTTCAGGGTGGGTTTATTTTTGGCCCGAGGTTTCAAAGGATAGAATAACATTGTCAAGGTTTACCATCAATAAATATCATAGAGCTGTGCCAATGGTAATTTCTGCTTTTGTTAACTTATTTTCCATGATTGATTGACAGGTTTATTTGTAAGCTTTAAAGGGTTATGGCTAATATAATGGAAATAAATGGCACTCAATTTATGGTTCTCAAAGTGCCCAAAACATACATGATGATATATAAGCTGTTTGGTACAAGGTTAGGGCTATTTTCTTTCTACCGTGCCATATCCATGAACCAGTTCATCGCGGCAGAGGCTCATGCACCCTCTTTGGAGGTTTTTAGTTTGAAGAAGTATTTTTGATTTCGGGTGAACCATATCTTTAATATATTTTAATTCTCAATGCATTTTATGTTAGGGTTATGATAGGATATTAATCCTGTATTTCTGTTCCACAAGACTTCCCTGTCCCTTGCCTCTGCTACTGATATTTCACTTTCACTCTTACTTCAAACACCTTTAAGACATGAGCTACCGCTGTGTTTGAAGTCACGACTGCTCTGACATTTCCTCACAGAAAAGACTTCATATTGACCTAGCTGGTGACCATCAGTGTGGCTGTCTTGAGCTGTGATGACAGCTAACATAAAAACATGTTACACTCACCCACTCAAACCTCACAAAGACACACACACGAAAACCTCTCCTTTTTCACAATGCATCCGTGACCTTTGCAGGTTCTTTTATGTCAGCTTATCTTATCTGGACTCTGGCTGCATGTAAACAGACTTGGACATGCTGCTGGCATGAGGTCAGTAATGGACATGTCGAGTTCTCCTTTTTAACTGTTGCCTCTTCTTATCATACCCCATCCCCGCTCCTTTTACTTTCTTCTCATCCCCTCAGGGCACGACTGGAAGAGCTGAGGATGTTTCTGGAAAATGAGACGTGGGAACTTTGCCCAGTCAAGTCTAACTTTAACATCTCCCAGCTCCATGTGAGTAAGAACCACATCACTGAGGCCAGAAAATGAAGCACGGTAGCTTTCATTTATTCCACACTGTCACTCATCGCCCCCCCACATCACTGCAATTTGCATCAGGATATGAAACACAGGGGATCCTGCTCAGTGATTTCTGTGTAGGTGTGGGGGTGTGTGTAGTTTTGTCAGCCTGTGTATGAACATATAGTCTACTGCATGTTATATAACAGAGATGACCAAAATATGGCTGTTGTCACTGATGCCGTGTATGTTAGATATTTTTATTCCCCACAATCTTGAGCATATACATGAAACATTTAATATCAGAGACTAAAGTACATCGCATACAGACACCACCTACATACTGTACATGTATTGTAGTTCCTCATGGATTTAACCAACTCTAAGAAAACTGCAACATGTTCAACTCACTTTACCAAAATACAGAAAAGAGAAATGGAAAGAATTAGATGTCAGAAAGATGAATGGACTTCATTCATATTCTTGTTTTTCTTCATGTCTGTCTTGCTTGGGCACATTTAGCAATAAACACGATTGCTAAATAATTAGCATAATTAACCCACTGCCAGGAGAATATTGTTTGTGTACAGTACTGCATGGTAAACAGATATTATACTTATTAACCCTTTAAAACCTGCTGGGCACTAACACTAACTACGTGTTTTAACAGACTGCAATTACTATTAAAATATATATTTCATTTCATTTAATTTCATTTTTATTTGTCCCGCTCATGGTACGCAAAACCAAATGTACAATAATTTTCACAAAACATGACTACCATTGAGCGAAAAGGAGCAGGGATCATATATACATGATCTCATAAGATATTTAGTAGATATCTGGCCATTTTCAAAAAGAATGGCCTTTTGTAAATATAATTCAGATAAAATGTATATAATATTCCTCATATGTAGTTGATTTTGTTCTGAATTGTTAAACTTGGAGCGTTCCCCAATTAATAAATGAAACAGGAAAGTTTGATAAAGTAAAACCATCTACAGCCTAAGGAGAGCACATTGTTGAAGGTCAATAACTTGAAAGAGAACAAACTGAAAAATCATGCATGAACCAGCACGATTCTTTGCAAGCAGGCAGTTTGTTTATGCCTTTGGGCCAAGATATTTCAATAAGAACATGCACCAGGAAACTGACAGGAAGTGTTGTTCACAGTTCTCCAAAGTGCATTTGCTGCCTAATCACAATTGCTGATTTGCCAATGCAGCCATTAATAATAGGCACAATGTTTCACTGCAGACTATTTGTAATGTAATGATGTTAGATAAAACAGGGCAAGTTCTGAAATGTTAATCTATCTAAGCCTTAGTTTCTCATATGTGCCTCAACAGCTAACTTTACCGAACCTGAACAAACATCTGTCTCTATTCTGTCTCCTTCCGATCTTCTCCAATCCAGGAGTTTAAGTTCATGGGCCAGTGTCGTTCTCCGTCCGTTTCCCCGAGCAGACAGGCCGTTTCCTCCAGCAGCCCGGCTCAGGACGAGCTGTCCTTGTTTCAGCAGTTTCTTCAGGAGGGAAACCCCTTTGAGCTGCCTACTGAAAAAGAGGAGGAGACAGAGGACGTGCTGGCATCCAACGGGGTAAGAGGAGACTTCAAACACTTGCGTCCAATTGGTGCCTGCTTTATTATATGCTTTATTATATAGAATCACTTTTACCAGTGGGAATGATGTGTAGCCCTAGCCCAGTCTCTCTTAAGTATGCAAAAGCATTGTTATACATGGTATACATGGATCACAATGGTAGTTATAGTGGTAGGTAAATCATGCTCTTATTCCTTATGTGAACAAATCGTATCTGAGGATTCAATTAAGTTGTTCATTTCCCCAAGTTGGATACATTATTATGTATAATTAACAAGGCTACCTGTAGGGCTACATAACTAAACAAGTTAATAAAAAGCCGGGTTGATTAATTGGGACATCATCATTGGGGGTCATTAAGTTGTTTACAGACGCTCTCAAGCTGTCATCACCCGGGTCGTAACAAACCTCGATTAACAGTGAGGGGCCAGTAGTGCAGGACATGCCATGTTTAGTATAACACGTTAGCTCAATGTCTGACATGTTAAAACATAAATGAATCTGTGGGTAGTGTCATTGGCAGGGCATATAATAAACCTATGATATAACATACAGCTTCTCATCCTTCAGGATTAAACGTTTTTCCTCAGCAAATTATACCGCTGTTTTAGTGTTGCATTAAGTTTAGTTTAGTTTATTTATAATAATTTAAGCACTCAAATACGCACATCAGAAGTATTCAATAAATGGTAAGTCATTTTTTTGAAAATAATGACAAATCAAAGCAAATGTATAACCAAAAATGTGTGGCTGAACCCTTAGGCTTATTACACCCACCCTTTAAAAATGTATTGTTTTGTATATTTCTCATTCGTTTTGGGCCCTCCAACAGTGGAAACATTGTATTTTCTTAGAAAGACATGTCCACTGTTTTGTGTTATATATATAAAGGCCGCACTTCACCTTGAACCAAAAATATGTTTTCCCGCTAAGTGGCGTCACTCAGTTTAGCTGGGAGTCTATGAGGTCCACTTAAAATGTTTTGGCTCTATGAAACCTGATGTACTTATATGATTCTGTCTTCTTCAAGTTTGTATCTTTTTGGTCGAATGCATTTATTGTAAGTCGCTTTGGATAAAAGCGTCAGCTAAATGAAATGTAATGTAATGTCCAGTAAACTACACTATGCCTGCCACTTGAGTGCCATAAGGCGCATTCACACTGCGGTACTTTTCCCACAAAGGTTCATGTGAACTTAGTTCATGTGAACTCTTTTATCGCGTTCACACCAAAAAGAGACGGTACTAAAATTAGTTGATGTGAACCTTTTTACCCCCACGAAAGTCCCTGCTAGAGAGCAGGGACTTTCGAGCGGCTCTCTTGTGAGAAAAGAGCTATATTTCAGATTGGCTGGGCGGATTGCAAACCACGCCCCGTAAAACTCCCAAAAAGTTTTGTGAAGCCGCCATTTTATTATCCTCGCATTAGCATTATTAGCATTAGCATTAGCCCAGCGCAGAAACGCAGAGAGACTAATTTATGGCAACACAAAATAAAACATGGGAGCGGTGGAGATGAGGAGGTGTCGGCGTTCTGGCGATTTACTCGGAAGGCTTCAGTAGAAGCTGCTGGGAGTCCCAGCAGCTTCTACTGAAGCCAGTCCCCAACTTCCGGCCGGGGACTTTGGGCGGCAGTATACGCCGTGAAGTGGTTTGCGGCCTGCCAGTAAGCCCAAAGCAGAAGAAGAACAAGTGACGTCAGCGGCTTAATTTGCCTAATCCACCCCCAGGGACTTTTTCCAGTGTGAACGCGATCTGTACTTAGTTCATGCGAACTAAAGAGTTCACATGAACTAAGTTCACATGAACCTTTGTGGGAAAAGTACCGCAGTGTGAATGCGCCTATACATGAATACAGGCGGAGAGAGCTCCTTATTATTTTTCTACGAAAGCCTGATTCACGGAACGATTCATCAATGAGCTTTCCTGCAAATGCCTCTTTAAACCCAGAAGTGAAGCCTAGCTTGATCTGGAGGGGGACAACAGGTTTTTGTGATCATAAAAAGGACATTTAGAATCAATAAACATCTTGCAATATGTGCATTAGCAAAGTACTCTTAGCAGCTACGCTTAGTTCAGGGCCCTTTAGTTGTTTTTAAAAGAAAGGTTCGAGGCTTTGTTATCCCACACACCAGCACTTGTGTCTCTATGAAATACCCATTAAAGAGTAGAAAGTCTTGGGTAGCCTTTGGTAAGCAACTGGAGATCATTATGGTAGCTTATTACACCCACCCTTTTACATTTTTATTGTTTTGTATATTTCTCATTCGTTTTGGGCCCTCCAACAGTGGAAACATTGTATTTTCTTAGAAAGACATGTCCACTGTTTTGTGTTATATATATAAAGGCCGCACTTCACCTTGAACCAAAAATATGTTTTCCCGCTAAGTGGCGTCACTCAGTTTAGCTGGGAGTCTATGAGGTCCACTTAAAATGTTTTGGCTCTATGAAACCTGATGTACTTATATGATTCTGTCTTCTTCAAGTTTGTATCTTTTTGGTCGAATGCATTTATTGTAAGTCGCTTTGGATAAAAGCGTCAGCTAAATGAAATGTAATGTAATGTCCAGTAAACTACACTATGCCTGCCACTTGAGTGCCATAAGGCGCATTCACACTGCGGTACTTTTCCCACAAAGGTTCATGTGAACTTAGTTCATGTGAACTCTTTTATCGCGTTCACACCAAAAAGAGACGGTACTAAAATTAGTTGATGTGAACCTTTTTACCCCCCACGAAAGTCCCTGCTAGAGAGCAGGGACTTTCGAGCGGCTCTCTTGTGAGAAAAGAGCTATATTTCAGATTGGCTGGGCGGATTGCAAACCACGCCCCGTAAAACTCCCAAAAAGTTTTGTGAAGCCGCCATTTTATTATCCTCGCATTAGCATTATTAGCATTAGCATTAGCCCAGCGCAGAAACGCAGAGAGACTAATTTATGGCAACACAAAATAAAACATGGGAGCGGTGGAGATGAGGAGGTGTCGGCGTTCTGGCGATTTACTCGGAAGGCTTCAGTAGAAGCTGCTGGGAGTCCCAGCAGCTTCTACTGAAGCCAGTCCCCAACTTTCGGCCGGGGACTTTGGGCGGCAGTATACGCCGTGAAGTGGTTTGCGGCCTGCCAGTAAGCCCAAAGCAGAAGAAGAACAAGTGACGTCAGCGGCTTAATTTGCCTAATCCACCCCCAGGGACTTTTTCCAGTGTGAACGCGATCTGTACTTAGTTCATGCGAACTAAAGAGTTCACATGAACTAAGTTCACATGAACCTTTGTGGGAAAAGTACCGCAGTGTGAATGCGCCTATACATGAATACAGGCGGAGAGAGCTCCTTATTATTTTTCTACGAAAGCCTGATTCACGGAACGATTCATCAATGAGCTTTCCTGCAAATGCCTCTTTAAACCCAGAAGTGAAGCCTAGCTTGATCTGGAGGGGGACAACAGGTTTTTGTGATCATAAAAAGGACATTTAGAATCAATAAACATCTTGCAATATGTGCATTAGCAAAGTACTCTTAGCAGCTACGCTTAGTTCAGGGCCCTTTAGTTGTTTTTAAAAGAAAGGTTCGAGGCTTTGTTATCCCACACACCAGCACTTGTGTCTCTATGAAATACCCATTAAAGAGTAGAAAGTCTTGGGTAGCCTTTGGTAAGCAACTGGAGATCATTATGGTAGCTTATTACACCCACCCTTTTACATTTTTATTGTTTTGTATATTTCTCATTCGTTTTGGGCCCTCCAACAGTGGAAACATTGTATTTTCTTAGAAAGACATGTCCACTGTTTTGTGTTATATATATAAAGGCCGCACTTCACCTTGAACCAAAAATATGTTTTCCCGCTAAGTGGCGTCACTCAGTTTAGCTGGGAGTCTATGAGGTCCACTTAAAATGTTTTGGCTCTATGAAACCTGATGTACTTATATGATTCTGTCTTCTTCAAGTTTGTATCTTTTTGGTCGAATGCATTTATTGTAAGTCGCTTTGGATAAAAGCGTCAGCTAAATGAAATGTAATGTAATGTCCAGTAAACTACACTATGCCTGCCACTTGAGTGCCATAAGGCGCATTCACACTGCGGTACTTTTCCCACAAAGGTTCATGTGAACTTAGTTCATGTGAACTCTTTTATCGCGTTCACACCAAAAAGAGACGGTACTAAAATTAGTTGATGTGAACCTTTTTACCCCCACGAAAGTCCCTGCTAGAGAGCAGGGACTTTCGAGCGGCTCTCTTGTGAGAAAAGAGCTATATTTCAGATTGGCTGGGCGGATTGCAAACCACGCCCCGTAAAACTCCCAAAAAGTTTTGTGAAGCCGCCATTTTATTATCCTCGCATTAGCATTATTAGCATTAGCATTAGCCCAGCGCAGAAACGCAGAGAGACTAATTTATGGCAACACAAAATAAAACATGGGAGCGGTGGAGATGAGGAGGTGTCGGCGTTCTGGCGATTTACTCGGAAGGCTTCAGTAGAAGCTGCTGGGAGTCCCAGCAGCTTCTACTGAAGCCAGTCCCCAACTTCCGGCCGGGGGACTTTGGGCGGCAGTATACGCCGTGAAGTGGTTTGCGGCCTGCCAGTAAGCCCAAAGCAGAAGAAGAACAAGTGACGTCAGCGGCTTAATTTGCCTAATCCACCCCCAGGGACTTTTTCCAGTGTGAACGCGATCTGTACTTAGTTCATGCGAACTAAAGAGTTCACATGAACTAAGTTCACATGAACCTTTGTGGGAAAAGTACCGCAGTGTGAATGCGCCTATACATGAATACAGGCGGAGAGAGCTCCTTATTATTTTTCTACGAAAGCCTGATTCACGGAACGATTCATCAATGAGCTTTCCTGCAAATGCCTCTTTAAACCCAGAAGTGAAGCCTAGCTTGATCTGGAGGGGGACAACAGGTTTTGTGATCATAAAAAGGACATTTAGAATCAATAAACATCTTGCAATATGTGCATTAGCAAAGTACTCTTAGCAGCTACGCTTAGTTCAGGGCCCTTT